CACGCGCGCGGAGGATTGGCCCCCGGCGGGCAGGGGGCGGGCCCTCGCCGCGAGTGAGGGCCACCGATTGGGTGGTTGGCGCGAAGGAGGCGGGCACTGGGATGACTGAAGTTTAAAGAGGGTGGAAAAAAGAAGTTTGAAGAGTGAGGGAGGGCGAGAGGGAGGGGTAGGGGAGGGGAACCGGCTCCAGATTGCAGGGCCCAGAGGCCCTCGGGCAGCAGCTGGAGCCCGGGGTAAACTCGGATCGGAGGAGAGATCCCACTCCCCGAGGTGGAGGCGTGGCTGGCGAGCCGGGCGGAGTCGGGGCGGACCCTGCCGGAGGGACACTGAGCCCCGAGTCTGCACTTTGGACCTGAGACTCCTGGCTGAGTCCACGGCCAGAGGTGGCTGGGCCTCCAGGGTGGCCTGTTATAGCCGATCCCTTACACTGAGGCAATGTTTCTTGCTAGTTCATTCTTTTAAGGAATGTTATTGAAAGTCCACTGAGGCAGGGAGTCCCTTTGATAAAAGGTAGAGTCCGGGCCACATTGCTGTGTGCCCTCGGGCAATTAGACCACCTCGCTGAGCCGCAGCTTCCTTAGCTGAAATATGGAGATAATTCTACCCCTCCAAGTTGTTGGAGAAATGACATGAGGTGCATATAAAATATCTGCATAGCAGTGGTTCTCAACCTTCCTGATGCCACGACCCTTTAACACAGTTCCTCATGTTGTGGTGACCCCCAACCATAAAATTATTTTCGTTGCTACTTCATAACTGTAATTCTGCTACTGTAAACAACATGTAGTTACATATGTGTTTTCGGGTGGTCTTAGGCGACCCCTGTGAAAGGGTCGTTGGACCCCTAAAGGGGTCGCGACCCACAGGTTGAGAACCGCTGGCACAGTGCCTGGAAGGGGCATGGATGCCTCTTAACCATTTGGTTGCTGCTGCTGAGGTTAAGGATTACTTTATGGCAGAAAGTGTGCCAGGTACTGGGGTTCAAGGATAAGGAAAACAGAAGCCCTGCTCTCAAGGTCACAGTCTAGGAGAGACTGACAAGTTAGCCACCTGCCTGAGGTGAGCTGGGGTAGAGTGGAGATAGAAGGTGGCGTAAGAACTGGCCTGGTAACTAGCAGACCTGGGTTGGAGTCCTGGCATGCTACCGCCTTGCTGTTTGACCTTGGCCGGACCTCAGCTTCAAGCTAGCACATCTGTAACCGAGGTGGAGGGAGAACTACCATCGAATAAAGGGCATCATAAGTCCCTTCCACTACTTTCCAGAAACTCTTCTGGAGCTCTCATCTCTTCCCTGGTTCGACTCACACTCACCTCTGGCTTTTAAAAATCCCCTCCTCCTCAGCCCCAATGCCATCTCTTCCAGGAAGCCTTCTCTGATTTCTTGTCCTCAGGTGGGAAGTGTCTTCTCCTTTCACCTTTGCAACATGACATGGAGGTACTCTCCTGCCTCCCTTTAGATCAGTAGTTCTCAACCTTGGCTGCACATGAGAATCACCTGGGAATCTTTTTAAAATCCTGATTTCTGGGCCTCATCCTCCCGAAATTCTGTTTCTTTGTTACTAATGTTGTGGCCACACCCCATAACAAAGAAACAATTTCCGGAGGACTACTGCTTTAGAGGTTGGGGAAAGCCCTGAGTTAATTCCACAGAATCTGCCCCCGTCTTGGGCAGACCGGGCCCAGCTTCCACAGCTGCAGTGATTTTGTTCACACCTTTGTATCAGCCAGGGCCTAGCAGGAAGCAAATGGCACTTGACAAAGATGTGGGCAGGGTAGGAAACCACAAGGGAAAGGGGAACCCTGGGGCCACAAGCTCCCAGATCTGCAGGAATGAGGTGAAAGGAACAGTTAGGAAAACTCGGCACAGAGAGGGCAGCCTGACAGACGCCTGTGACCTTTTGTCCAGCAATGGAATCACCCAGGGAGGAAGCTGGGAGATTTATACCTCACTCACCGCCCTCCACCAGGCTCTTGCTGGAACATCCTGATGGCCAAATCCAACCGGAAGCCAAAGGGCAAGACAGCCTTTTGATGCAGTTCACATCAGTCAGACACACAGAGAAGAGGAAACTGCATCTGGAGATAAAAAAAAAAAGGGGGGGGGGATGCTTAGCACAGTTACGTGGGCTGCTCAGATTTACCCAGATCTGAGACAAAGCTGGAGTATTTCTTTCTGAACTACTGCCTACACTGACGGATTCTGGGATGAAATCTTGATGATCTCCCCATCATCTATTTTTGCAGCAACTCTGAGAAAACACCTTTTCCTGCCCGGATTGTATCCATTAGGATACCTTTGGCCACAAGGAATAGAATATTCGACTAACAGAAGCTTAGAGTATGAGTTTATTTACTACACCTTTAACATGCTATTCAGATATCTTCTATAATAATAAAAGTGTAATATGCTAATTAGATCGGACATCCTTGCAGACATCCTTCCGGACGACCTTCCGGACGAAGCCGGGCTGTGAGGGAAGCTCGGGTCCCAGGTGCCAGAGGTAAGCCGGTGCCAACAACCGGGGGAAAGAAGGCCTACTCTTCCACGAATTTCATGCATCGGGCCTCTAGTAAGATCTCAGCATTGCTAATCACCTTTAGAATTCTGTACAAATTAAATGCACCCATCTCTGTAAGCTTGGGCTCAGTTTTTTAAATGCGCTAGAAATAAGCTGTCCACCCCAGCGAATTGATTCTGGTAGGATACTGTTCCGGAAATAACTACATAATTTTTAAAAATCACATTACAAGCGTCTATCTCTGCTATAGCGCCTAACCTAATAACATAACCTAATAAGTTATGGCTGATGATCTCCACGGTTTCTTGGGGCTCCCTCTAGCCACCTAATCTACAGAGATACACAGGCATGTTTCGACGTGCATTCCCACGAGCTGGGTCCCACGATGGCTGCAAGGCTCCCAGTAACGTAAGTATCACAGAAGTGTCCGAACTGAAAGGGGCGAAGGGAGTGTCTCCTTGCCTCATTTTCTTCCCATAAATCGAGGAAACCTTCCCACCACGCCCCCCAGCAGGACCTCCCCTCCAGCCCCTCGGCCAGACTTGCCCAAATGTCCTTTCCTAAACCAAAGACGCAAACGGTAATGAAGACCCTTATCCAGTTCCACCCTCTGAGCGGAAGAGGACCCAGCATCTCATACAGCACATGGCTACACAAGACGGGAAGGAAACCGAGGCCGGCTCGAAGCAAACGTGGGGAGGGGAGCTTGGCTTTCAGGTGAGCGATCATCCACAGTGTCCTCCACAAATACACGTGCTCAGCATGGATTGGCTTCTACTAGGGGATCGGAGCGGGAGGCGCCAGGTGGGAAGTTTGGTTTGTTTTATAATATTGCGCCAAGTGTTCCTAATGAGAGTTAAATCGATGCCAGTATAGATTTCCAATTTTTCTCAAATGGCCCTTGCTCCGTGGCTCCTCTGGACAACCCCGCGTGGCCTGGGATGGTGATGGAGCTTGTGCAGCCGGCAGGGTTGGGGCCCTCATCACATCGGAGTCTATGGGGATAACGCCCTGTAACGGTGCACGGCTCTGTCAGAGCGAGGCAGGCACCGGGAGGCATGTTACCTTTCACTGAAGTGTTCGATGCTCACGAGCTTCTTTTCATGGAAACCTGGATCTCTTGTAACTGCAACTCAAACCTGCATTATTTCGGTGACATCATTCTCAAGTATCAAGGCGGCAGGGGATGGGGGAGAAGCGGAGTGGACAGATAAAACAAATATTTGCCTCCTATACAGAACAGGTCTCCAGTTTTTATTCCCATGGATTATTATAAAATCCTCTTGGATTTTTTTTTTTAAATTCACAAAAATCTTTCACTGGCTTAGAAAAATGCTCAGATTTACCTGGTCCGTGGTAGGAATGATAGATGTAATGTCATCTAACAATGAATTAATGATCTCGGGTTTCCTTACATTTTATTAGCATCTTTATTTGCCTAGGTCTACGGCTAATTTGTATGCTAATGCTAAGATAGTCTCAATTACCAAAGCAATAACATGGAACATTTTATTTCAGTTAAACTAATTCATTGTCTAAAATCCGGTTTACTTTGTTTCATGCATAAACGTGCTTTTTTTTTTTTTTTTTTTTGCCCAGAAGTGCCCTTACCTGCAAATGATCAAGTGACTCCAACCCCAAATCATCACAGAACAAGAGAAACATTCAATATCAACTACAGCACCAACATTAGCGAAGAGCGTTCGGCAGTCAGATGCCCAGCCCGGCTAACAAAGCGGGGCAGAGAGAACACTGAATGAAATAGAACATACCGAAATGCCCGTCTTTTCATCTTTCAGCTTAAATGCAGCCTCCTACTCCAGACCAGCCTAGATTTCCTGCTGCTGGGGCCATCTCTTCCTTCTTCGGAACCAACAGCCTACTGCCGTCTACGTGTTTTCCTTCTCAGTGGGCCTCGAGATTCTTGAGAACATTTGTGTCATTCCTCACCTCC